TTTGACAAGTGTATAAAATTGTGTACTCGAAATGTATAAAACATCATCTGATTAAGTATTGTATTTTGACTCGAAAATCTAGTGTCTATTAAAAAATTAAAATACCAAGTCGTGTTTAGTGTAGTGGTTATCGTTCCGGGTTTCAAAGTGCGTATTCGTTAGGTTCAGGTGTTCGCGTCCCCCCTGCGTCAAATATTTATTTCATAAGTTTAAATTAATTCTAAGGTATATAAATACAAAGTCAAATATAAATATGTTCAAATACAATAATTAATTTTTTTCTTTTAATTAGTTTTTCTCTTTTATTTGATAATAAGAATTTGATTAGCAATTTCAAATAATTATGATACACAGTGTAAATCTAATATTATTCTCCTAGTCAATTTGACTATTTTTTCCTGATTACATCGACTAATTTTCCTGGTCACTTTAACTATGCTTGAATCTTATTACTTTGACCAGGATTCTATAGTTGGCTCCTCTCGTAACTAGGAAACCTAGTCAATTCCTGGTAAATACGGGTCCTAGGCATTTTTTTCGGTGTAGTTATTGCAACTACATCACTCCGACTAGAACCATGTTGTTCCCACAACAACATCATTTTCTTGGGAAAACAAAAAAAATATTTAAGACAACAACACTTATGGTTATTACAACACTATCTCTTGCAACATTCAAATTGTAGTTGCCACAACCATAGCAGTTTTTTCCGTGTAATTTTGGTATACGGAACCCTTGATTTTAGTGCGAGTGTAACTCGCACTTGTCCGATTTTTTTTGTTTGCCTTAAAACTTTAAAATTATGAAGAATTTTAATACAAAATCTTATGTTTTTTATATTTTTGACAATAATTTATTTTAAGTAATTTAATTCTTCAAGAATTAACATAAAATTATGAAATTTTAGAAGATTTAAATTTTGAACGCATTTCATTAGAAATTTTGTTGAACTTAGTTTTTTGAAAAATTTTAATTCAAATTCTTTTGAAATTATCAGTTGAATTTTTTAATATATATTTAGTTATAAAAAATAATTGATTTAGAGAAGAATAGTAAAAAATTCTAGAAAATAATTGAATATTGGAGAAGTTGCAAATAATATAGTTTAGAAATAGTTGAATTTTGAAAAGATTTCAAATTAAAATCTTTAAAAATTCGAATCTTTATATACGTTTAATTAACAATTCTGTCAAACTTATTTTTTTTTAAATTTTAATTCCAATTCTTTTGAAAATAGTTGATTTTAAAATATATATATATATTTAATTATTAAAAGTAATTGATTTAGAGGAATATTATTAGAAATAATTGATCTAGAGAAGAATTTTAGTTAAAAAATCTAAAAAAAATATAATTGAATTTTCGAGAAGTAATGAATACTTGCAATATTTAAAAATAATTGAATTTTGAAAAGGTTTCAAATTAAAATCTTTGAAAATCTGAACTTTTAATTTTTTAACTAAGAAAAAAAAGTCAAAATACTTTCTGGAAATCAGGGAAAAGTCAGGAAAAGACAAAATTAAATTTTTGTGGCAACTCCGAATTTTGATTTTTTAAAATATTTTTTTATTCACCTCCTTTTTGTGTATTTTATTATTTATATTTTTCCAGAAAGTTGATATTTCAACCAAAAGAAGTAGATTATTTGAGAAATTTATTTTCATAATCATAACTCGCAAATTAGATAATTAACATCGTTCGAGAGTCGTTAGCATGTTACTGATTTGAAATTCCTATTAATCAAAAATTTCCGCCTTCATTAGTTTTCAAATGAATTAAAATTAAAATTCTTCATTAAATGCCGGAAGAGACAATTTTAAATTGTTATTGATAGTTCTTTTCTGAAATTTTGATTATTACATTCACATAATAAAATGTGAAAAATAATGGAAAAAAATTGAACTTTTTTTCTTCGGTTTACCGAAAAACGTGCGTTTTCTTTGTCGTGCGCGGTAAAACAGTTTAGATGATAAACAATTCCTTAAATTAACATTCTTTTCTCCTTTTTTCAGATTTCGCAATACATAATAGGACCTTTTACAAAGAATATATTGAGTGCAATTAGAAAACGGTTGCAATTTATTATAATTTGAAGCATTTTGAACTGTTACCGATTCAATAGCCAAAGATTCAAAAGTATACGAGAGAGAGAGACCAGTGGTTACGGATTTTTTTAGTATACATATATACACTTACGGTCTGAATGAACGACTTTTTCTACTTAAATAGGAAATAGAAATAGGAAAAAAAGTTCTGATAGATTGTAATATGTAATTAAATTAGCAGTATTAATAAAAAGAAGACAATTGTCCTTTTTTATAATAGACTTTTTTTTATTTGTTTAAAAAAATTAATTTAATTGAATTCTAGAAGAAAGTTTTGTTCTTTTGAGAATTTGTGATTTTGATGAAAGGACATTTCAGTCTATTTGCTTTATGGTTCATGATCTTGAAAATGAAAACATATCACTGCCATTTTCCTCATTCCATTCGCAATGTGATGAATTGAAAAAATATTGGTTCGAAGGAAAAAGAGAAATTGTAAATGAGAGATGGACAATTTATTTACGGTGAAGCTTATATATACAAAACTGGTAGAGAGATGATGGGAAGTAAAGAGGCCAGGGGCGAGGAGGGTACCAAGTCACGGGACTATCAGTGAAAGTGTTGAAGAGAGACCCGAGATACCTGAGGCCTTCCTTGTTCCATCATGTGATGGCACAAACAACCTCGGGCAGCATTACCTTATTCTACCACGGTACAATTATCGGTCCTGACCATCAGGGACGTAGCGATTCACAAACGAAAGAAGCTATTTTATTTTATTAAAATCGAAAATTTTCATTATTAATTCCAATTTCATTATATTATTTTCCACCAAGTCATTAAAAAATAAGGAAACTTTATTTATTCAGGAGAAAAATATTGATTATATTTTATTCATTACGAATAGTTCATTTCTTTAGTAGGTATTCCAGTCGAAAATTAAAAATAAACCCCATTCAGATTAGAAAACCTTTTCATTTTCCGTTTTCATTTTCAATCGACCAGGACAAACGCCGACAGAATAAATTTTTTTAATTCTCTTTACAATATTTTTTTATTTTTTTCATAAACGAAAAAATTTTATCGGCAATCTATTTTTCTTGTTTAAATTTTAATTAAATAAAATTTTATTTACTAAATTAAAATTATTTACTTAATTAAAATTGTTTAACAAATTGAATTTCGTTTATTAAATTCAATTTCATTTACTAAATTTAAATTGTTTACTAAATTGAATTTCATGTTTACTCATTTGAATTTGAATTTTGAAATTTCCGCAACCTTTCTTTGTGCAATCATAAAAAAGTAAGAAGCAGCTAGTACATTGATCATTAATTGAAAGTTATGAATCTGAAATGAATGATAACTGTAAGATATGACTTGTTCTGTTATTAGCAATTATAGTTTTATGAAAGGCATATTTCTGTTAATTACTGAGAAAATCAGATATTTAATATACCTAATTGTAAATGACAGTTTATTGCAGACTCTAAGAAATTATATTCCGTCGATTGATTATAATTTGTAGGATTTATCTTACAACTCCACTGTAATCATTTACAATGAGAAGTTTATGTCCATCGATTTTCTTCTACTAAGAAAAGTACCTAAGTATTTTTTTTATTCACGATATTAAATTTTTATAAAAACTTTTTTATATTTTCATTTAGAAAATATTATTAATTTCTTGAGAAGAATATTATCAAAATTTTTTTATATAGTTGAATTCACTTAAGGAATTTTTTTTAAATATTGAAAATAATAGAATTCTTTTGAGAAATTTTATTAAAAATGAATAGAAAATAATTTAATTTCTCAGTATTATTTTATTAATTAAATTAATTGAATTCTGGACAAGAATTTAATTACGATTTTTGATAACTGAATGTTTTGCGGAGAATTTTACTAAAATTTTAGAAAATAGTTGAATCTTTCGTGGAATTACCTATATTAAAATTTAATTGAAAATAATTTAATTTCTGCTAAGAATTATATTACTTATAATATTTAAAAGAATTGAATTCAATTCAAAAGTTTTCGCCAATAATTGAATTCTTTCAAAGCATTTCTATAATTTTTTTTAATATAATCAATCTGTTAATAATTGAAATTAGGTAATTATTTTATTTTTAAATTTTATTAATATTACTCATAGAAAATTAAATTCTTTTAAACAATTTTATTATACTTTTCGTAAATAATTATTTAATTATATCTTTTGAAGAATTTCTTTACGTTCTTTGAAAATAATGTATTTTTTTTCTAACTTTAATCGGAAATTTTGTAAATAATTGAATTCTTTTGAAAAGTTTTATTAAAATTTTAAAAAATAAGTGAATGTTTTCGAGAAATTTTATTAAAATTTCAGAAAATAATTGGATTTTTGCATGAGATTATATTAAAATTTTACTAAAAATAATTGAATACCTGCTAAGAATTATTTTATTATTTAAAAAAAATAATAAGTTGATATTTGAAAGCAAAAAAAATTTTGTAATTTGCATAGGAATTTAGAATAATGGAAATTTATAATTTAAAGTAAGAAAAATAGTTTTTCTAAAGTGGAAAAAAAATTTCTTCTCTTTTCAATAATGTTAATAATTCGACAATTTCATTAAACTAACAATTGTTCGACGTCCGTTTAATCTTTAATGAATGGTAGCAAACAAATGTCTAATAAATATCCATATCAATTACTCTTAGATGTCTGTGATAAGTAGAAGCGTTTATAAGGAAATTGTCGGTATAAAGGAAACGAGAAATAAAAGAAAAAGATAATACGAAATTGAAAATAATGCAGAACTAAGTAATAACTGTCAAAGATTGCTCAAACAGTTCATCTTTTTTTATGTGAAAAAAATGAAAAAAAAGGTTTAAATGTGCGTCAGAGTATAATATAAATAAAAATACATAAAGTATGAATATTGAAGTAATCGAATTATTTGTACAGTTTAATTTAATTAAAAAAAATTTTTTTTATTTGTTTTATTTACAAATGTAGAAAAAAATAGTTTGATTTACATTTATATAATTAAACACTAGTAAAAAAATAATTTTACACATTAATTTTATTTATAGTTTTGCTTTGGTGAATTTTCTGACGATACTCATCAATCCAAATCCGGATAGAATATCTCTCGACCTTTCTTGCTTCAATAACGCTAAACGGATCTTTTGGATTTTTGCCTCTCAAATCTAAATGATGGGCGCCTTCGGGAATGATAATAGCAACGGTGGAAGATGAAATATTAGTGAGAACCCCACCACTAGACCATGGATCAAGTAGACCATTACTGCGAAAAAGAATTTTTAAATTAACGTCGGTCGAAGAAAAAAAGGAGAAATAGAAGAATTTAAATGATTCAAGTGGAAAATGATTGTTTACCTGAATACGATGTTTGTGGCGGTTGAAAGGTGAGAACAACCATATTCATTGCATGCCATATTAGATTGCGGCCTTACTTGAAAATTTTTATAACAATCGTCGCTGTATTCTTTGATATTCCAGGGGGTTGGCTCGAACATATCATTAATTCCATCGGAACACATTGGCATTACCATTTCAGTGCAAGCTTGAAAATTCCAGCCCGATGCACCTAATTGCGGTGAGGCATCATCAATACGATTGCATTTCGTTTCACCAGTACTATTTGTATAAACACTTAGTGCTTTGAATAAGGAAAGTAACAGTGGCTTTCCCGAGAGATTATCATCTTTAAGGTATTTACACACTTCCTAAAATTAAATTCGATTTTTATCATCATTTACGGTAATTTATTTATGTTAACTGTATACTTCTATTTTTATCCAAAATATATCTAACACAGTTAATATAAATATTAATTGCTCATTATTTTTTTCGATTTACTAATTTTTCTTATTGAAAATTTTAATTTACTGTTCAAAATTATTTTTTATTCCAATTTTTTTATTGGACGTTTTAAATTTAAAAAGTTGGTAAATTTTTTAATGTCACTCACAAATATTGGATTTGCCGGTAGAGGTGCTAGGAATTTTGTTTCGTACGGATAATTGACCATCGCCAAATTCCCATAAACATCGATCAACCAATTTTTCAAATTGACAACTTGCGTTAAATTTTTTAATGGTTCGCAAAGTTTCCAAGTTTCCGATAACCATTTCAGTCCTTCGGCTGTGAAAAATAGCAAGAAAATTTCAAATAGTTTTTTTTAAATGATGGAATTTAATTATTATCAAGTAATTAACGCTTTGTGTATGAGGAAGAAGCAGTAAACATTCACTACTTTTAATAGTTTATCATTATTATTATTTTATTATTATTTTATATTTAATTACATTTTATTATATTTTATTTATTGTTTATTCATAATGAGAAGAATTCAATTTTAATATCGATTTATAAAAGTTAATTAATTATTGAAAAGCAAAAAAAACCTCACCATTTGCAGTAATGTTCGCTATTGCGGACCAAGCTTTACGAATAAGCTTAGGACACGTTGGATTTCCAGCTCGAAAATCTGACGTGACAATTCGCGCGAAAGCTTCACAATCGGTGTGACCGGTAAATTGTAAAATTGGCGCGGAAGCTGCAATTGCCCTGCAATTAAAATATATTTTTTATTTTCCGAATACTTTTTATTGACACAAAGCAAATGAATTCTAATTCTAGAAAAATAAGTTTTTAAAAGTTAAAAATATGTAGTTCATTGTTTTTTACTATGTCAATTACTTAAAAATCATGAAGTAGAAATAACAAAATAGTAACGAAAAATCATGAAATTAAAAAATAAGGAAAAATAATGAAAATGAAAAAATAGTGAAATTAAAAAAATAATGAAAATAGAAAAATATAAAATACTGAAAATAAAAAATAAGGAAAATAAAAGAAATATTGAAAATAAAAAAATAGTGGAATTAAAAAAATAGTGAAAATGAAAAAAAAGGAAAATAAAAGATAGGTAGGATGAAAATAAAAAAAATAGTGAAATTAAAAAAATAACATGAAAATAAAAAATAAGGAGAATAAAAAAGTAATAAAAATAAAAACCTAGTTAAATTAAGAAAATAGTGAAATTAAAAAAATAATGAAAATAGAAAAAATAATGAAAAGAAAAAACTGAATGAAGATAATAATAAAAAAAAATTGAAAAAATAATTAAATACTTTTTTGTCAAATAATTGTAATAAATTAGAAGCAAATTTTAACGCGAGTTGTCAAAATAATTGAAAAGAAGATTTTGAATTGTTAAAAAGAATGTTTTTAAAAATTTTTGAAAGTATTTTGTCTGCAAACCCTTGAACAATGTGAGGATATTTCATGCGCATCCAAGCGCTGAGCATTCCGCCATACGAGCCTCCAAATACAATAACAGGACTGTTTTTATTGCCTGGTTGTGATTTTAGAAATCCTATTAAATCCACATAGTCGGCTAATGCTTGCTCCGATGTTAAATATCCGAGATATTTTGCATCGGAAAATGATTTATTTCCAAATGGCAATGATTCGCCGTAATAACGATGCTCGGCAAATATCAAAAGTGCTCCAAATTTTGGCGCTATATCCCACATAAATCCCTGAAATTTTGGAATTTTTAATTTTAGATTATAAATAATTATGAATTTCTTTTTAGGAATTTAATTTTTAACTAATTTATTTTTAATTTTGATTTTCTGTTTAATTTTTTAAACTAATTTTTATTAATTTCTATTTTCGTTTAATTTCTAATTTTTGTCAAATTTTTATTTAATTTCTATTTCATTTATTTAATATTTTTAATTTTATTGTAAATTTAATTTTTGAATTGGAAATAATTTTCTAATATTGTAAATTTTTTACCTACACGAATGAAATATTAAATGATAGTGAAGAATATTTACCGTATTTTCCGCGAAAACTTCAATAAAACCTTCATTTCCGGTGTAAAAAAAAATTGGAGCATCATTACCCTTTTGCCAAGTGTCATTCACGAGATATCTCATTTTGTAGGTTGCATTTTCCGCAAAACTGAAGTGATCCACCTTTTTTATAATAGACAGTTAATTGAAAATTAATTTCTATTAATTAATTAAAATAAAAAAAGTAAATTACAAAAATAGTTAATGATTTAATAATTACAATTATTTTGTTATAAATATATGAATATTTATAAATTTAATAATTATTATTGTTTCGTAATTATAAACATTTACAATTATTGTTTTGTGATTAATTAATAATTTATTATAGAATTATTATTCTATTTAATTAATTGTTTTGAAATGAAGTAAATTGAAAATAAAATGAAAAAATGAAAACAATTAGGAATTTAGTTTTTGAAAAAAATAGTGAATAACGAAAATAAAATTTGAGTACTCTTTGAAAAAATAAATACAACTTACCCGAGATTCAAAATAATTAATTTGATATTGATATTGCGGGGAGATTGTTTTTATCGGTTGTGAATGTGGAAAAATTGATAATCGAAAACTGACGTTTTGCGAAAAAAGAAAGAGAAAAACCAGTAAGAGAAGTGAACACTTCATTATTGAAAGATGTTGAATGCTGTCCAGCTTACAACTAAATGTACATATTTCAATGACCCTCTAGTCTGAATGGTTATCTGTTTGTATTAAATATCACATACACATCCTCTGATTGTACATAGAAAAGAATTTTAGATATATATAAGTAAATATATGATTTTTAATACTGAATTTCATTTTAATTTATTTAATTTTTAAATTTTTTACTTCTAGTTTTTCTGATTTTGAAAGTTAAGTGAACGATATTTATAACAATATTATTGTTTTGTTAAAGATTTTCGAAAAAAAGTAATTACTCTATACATGTTGACATTAAACAAAAAAAGTAAAAGAGAAAATAGAATCATGATATACTATACAAACGAAAGTGATTTCTTCGGAACATTTAAAAATCTTTTAATGTTTAGTAATTGTGTAGAGAGAAATTTGTGTTTACTTCTTTTATAAACATTTACTGAGTAGTTTATTAAAAAGTAATTTTCTATTTAACTGAAAAAATACAGTGGAAAATATACTTTGGAATTTATTCTCTTAAAAAAATAGTTCCGAAAATTAAATACGAAATAATATTATAAAGAAAAAATTACTGGTTTTTTAAATAAAGAAACTGAAAATTATTCACTGAGAGAGTATATATTTTTCTCATTAGTAACTTCCTTTTTAAAATTTAAATATCTACTCTAATTCTAATTACATTATGTAAAAGAAAGTTTCATTTACATAGTATAATATTTGCTACTGAAATAAAAGTAATATACTATTTACGTTTCACTATTTTAATTTTAAATTTTAATACTATTTAATTATAATAAATAAATATAATTTAAATGTTTAATAATTATATTTAAGTTTAAAGTTGAAGTTTAACTGCATATTTAATTTTAAATTGATATTACTTTTTTTGTTTCATTTTCCTCGTAAATTAATTACTGTAATTTTGATAGGAAATAATTTTTCGTGTTTTACACTGAATATACTAATTTATTTAAATTTAGAGAATTTTTAATTCTAAATTTAATTTAAATTATGATGCAATTTAAATAGTGTGATTTAATTGTGACAGTAAATAGAAAGTGTAAAAAATTTGAATCGCTTTAATTTACAGAATTTTAATATCTTTCAGATGTCCCGAATTCTGGATGACTTTTGAATTAAAAGAAATGACAGCGCATAAAAAAATCAGTGATGCAATTGGAAAATAGGAACTTGGAGCTGGCAAAAATACTCTTTGAGGTAAGAAAAAGAAGTTGTATTATTATTTTTAATCGAAAAAATTTATTTTCTTTACGAAATATTATATATGAATCATTTAATTCATAGGTATAAATTTCAATTTTTTATTGAAATGTTATTCTATTTTAATAAACTGAAAAAAAGACAGAACTTTTATTATTCTCAATATTCATTCGTCATCAGCAGTAGTTTTTAAAGTGTAGTTTTTTCTATTTTAACATTTTATTTTTTTGTTTACTTCTTTATTATTATTTATTATTTTTTTACTTATTCTTTTTTACTTATTTTATTATTAAAAAAATCTATTATTTTTTACTTGATTTTTATTTTTTTGCTTAGGGACTTTTGGAAAATCTGCCTACAGATACACTGTTAAAAAAGATTGTAAATTTACAATACTTTCATACAAAAAGTGATTGAAAATTTACAAATATTGTATATGAAATAATTTCAAAAACGCGTGTTTGAAAGATTTGTAAATTTACAATATTTTCAAACAGAAGTGTTTGAAATTTTCAAAAATTTTTGTATGGATGAACTTCAAATACATATGTTTGAAAGATTTGTAAATTTACAATATTTTCAAACAAAAGTGTTTGAAATTTTCAAAAATTTTTGTATGGATTAACTTCAAATACATATGTTTGAAAGATTTGTAAATTTACAATATTTTCAAACAAAAGTGTTTGAAATTTTCAAAAATTTTTGTATGGATTAACTTCAAATACATATGTTTGAAAGATTTGTAAATTTACAACCTTTTCATAAAAAAGTGTTTGAAAAAATTATGTGTAAAGATATTGAATCTTTAGAAATTTAAAAGAAGTCAAAAAAAGGGAATGGTCCACATGTTTCTCACTACTGATACTTTGCAAGAGATTTTCATAGCCTCTCTTGGTCGAGCGCGTCTAGGCGCAGCTCCCAAGGTTGATGGCTCCATACAAGACACACCCCAGTAAGAAACGAAAAATTGAAAAGTATTAAAAAGATTCTATTCTTTTGAATGCCATTTCTGTCCAATACTTTTCTATCCAGTGAGAGCAATATAAATAGTAACGATATCAATCCTCTTGAATACCCAGTAAGAAAGCAAAGATTAACCCTTAAACCGCACCCTGGGTGTGCGACACCCATATTCTAGCTTTTTACTCTAATATTTCGGTTAAATTCGTAAAAATTGAACATGTGTTGATATTGGATGGTACATTTTGTACTTAAATTTATGTTTCGTGAGTGACATTAATCTGCCAAGTGTCTTTGTGTATTTGATAACTTTATGAAGTTGTCGGCGAAAAATTTCTGCTTGTCTGACACCCAGTTTTTGGTTTAAGGTAATTTCAGTAGTTTTAAAAAACACTTTTTTAATTATTAAAATTAAATAAATCATTATGAAACCTATTTTCCTTGAAAATAGATGTACTGAGCTATATAAGAAACGCGGTTCCAATGAAAAATTGAAAAGTGATATAATGACAGGCTGTAATAATTTCGGATGGGATTGGAAAGCATTCAGAAAAAAATTTTGTCTTTGTTAAAAATTACAAAAAGAATTGAATAGCATTCATTTTTAGACGAAACGTGGTCCTATCATGGTATAGAAAAGTATTGGACAGAAATGGCATTCAAAAGTATTGGATAATTTCTACTACACCATACAGAGTTTGAATTATTTCAATCCTTTTCAATTTTTCGTTTCTTACTGGGACTATACACAGACAAATATACGACTAAGGGTTCAAATCGTAGTGTTTAATTTCCGTAAAAATGCCAATGAAACTTTTTTTTCAATTAATTTACATTTATTGTAACATATCAAAACACAATATAAACAGTTTAGATTTTTCATTTAAATATTTAAATCGTTTTGGTATTTCAAACACTTTGTATTAATTTTCCAAAGAATAATTTGAAAATTTTAAAGAAATGTGTTTTAAAATTGAATAAGAAAATTTGTATTAAATTTAAAAATGTGTGTTGTAGTTTTTCAAAATTGTATATGATAATTGCTTCAAACATTTTTGTATAAAATTTGGAACAAAAATTTTTAACAGTGTACCTTAGATTCCGCACTCCAAGGTTATGTGGGGTTGGTACAATGAAACAAAAGGCAATATTAAAAAAAAGATAAATAAATAAATGTTATAATAAATTTAATAAACTGGCTACCTACTACCAGCCCGACCCACTAAAACCCGTAACCCTTCTTCTGGAGCCCTTTACCCTCCCTCGGAACTGTCGTAAGACTTTAGCCTTCGAGGGTGGCGCTCCAACTCTGTCGCTAATGCGACCTTCTTCTTCTCTCTGCGGTTTTCCTGCGTCCGTAGTTAAAAAGATGATTAAAACTATTTCATAGTCTAAGCGGAATTTACAGCACGACAATAATAAAAAAAAAAATTGTTTAAGAAATGTTAAAAGTCAAAAGATAAAATCGCAAACGGATATAAAAAAGAAAAGAAAAAAAAAGTAAACACGTTTATAATGTTAAAAAAACAAAACTGTACAAAGACGAATAAAAAACACAAAACAAATTAAAAAATGTATAAGGACAATTAAATCACAAAATAAATTAATAAAAAACAAACAAAACAAATTAAAAGCTGTTTAAATTACGCTTTTTGGCGACCGTCGAGATCCTTCCTCGACATAACCGAGATTTCAATGTTCTCGACTTGCCGCCAATTTTTTTCCGACTGGGTCATCAGCTCTACCATGTTCTCCGGTGTAACCTGACAGTTAACACCGATCCGCTTCTTTGCGGATCAGGCCCTTGCTTGGTCTTATTTCCTCATCCAAGGAACTTCTTTTTTTAGAAAAGAGAAACATTTCTTCCCTTTCCCTCGCTAAAAGATCTGCTGGCGGGACACTTGCAAGGACCTGCCCAGCACTCGTAGATACCGTCTTATTATGCAGAGATGATACGCGTTGTTATCGATCTCTGCGCCGACAGTATCTTTTCACAGATGGTCACACATCTTTTACTCCTTAGGGATGGGGCTTACGCTGGTGCTACAGAGAGCATTTTAGCGTGGGTGACACTCGCCACCAATCTTCTTTTTTGTTCACGGGGTCCGCCAACATGTGGCATTAGCCGTGAAAGATTAGCCACACACTCGATCGCCTTATTTGACGCCGTAGCCATGTGGTGGTGGAAGTTTAAACTTCCATCCAACTCCACGCCAAGATATTTAATTTGCTTACTCCACTTGACCTCGAATTCGTCTATCACGATTCGTGGGAGCTCATAACCGCGTCTGTCTGTGACCAGCAGTGCCTCGGTCTTTTCCAGGGCCATTTCAAGACCTCTGGTATCCAACCAGCTTTTTGCTAGTCGCAGACATTCGTTCACTAATGTCCCAAGAGCCTTCTCACTTTCGGCAGTGCACACGAACAACGCGTCGTCCGCAAAGCCGATGATCACCGCACCTTCGGGTAGATCCATTCGCAGAAAATCATCGTAAGATACATTCCATACAAATGGACCCACCCTCGAGCCTTGAGGAGCCCCACGCTGCATCTCTTCCCTGAGAGTGCAGGTGTCTCCCTCATATATAACCCACCTGTCGCTAAGATAATTATCCATTATCCGCAACAAGTAGGGCGGCATGTTTTTCTTTTTCATCGACTCGATGAGATCTTTCCATCTGGCGGAATTTAATGCGTTGCGTATGTCAATTGATACCAACGCGCAGAAGCTCTTCTTTTTTCCAGGTCCCAACTTGTTTTTTCTGCTTTGGCTATGTCCACAACTGCCTGGATGGCATCAACTGTGGACTTGCCTTTACGGAAACCAAATTGGTGATCCGATAGACTATTCTCTCCGGTCAAGTGGCTTTGCATTCTCTGCAGAACCATATCCTCTAGGAGTTTACCCATCGTATCCAACAGGCATATAGGCCTGTACGATGAAACCTTATCTAGAGGTTTTTCACCTTTCCTTAGGAGGACTAACCTCTGTCGCTTCCAGTCGCGGAAGAACTCTCCTTTCCTTATCTCTTTCCTTATCGACTTCCTTGATTAGGTCCTTCCAGCTACGGCGTCGCGACCTGCGGATCTCTTTCTTGAGGTCCTTTTTCGCCTCCTTGAAAGCCTCTTTCAGCAAGGGATCTCCCTTAGATCGGGTATATGTCCTTCTTGCTTTGAGGCATTCCTTTCTCAAGGAGGCTAGCTCCTCTGACCACCAGTAAAAGGATTTTCTTACGGGAATGGCGCCTTTGCGTGGCATAGACGCATTGCAAGCGGTGACTATCATATTCCTCACCGCTCGAACCTCCCCATCCAGACTGCTCGGTCTCTTCACCCAGCCCAAGTCCTCAATTAAAAGGGATTCTCTTAGGGACCGGCCAAACTTTTCCTTGTCGAGTCTCTTCATATTCCACGAGGAGGTTTTGCGACTAGGAACATCTTGTCTTATTCCTCCTTGTGTGTCTCGCATCGAGACTGAGAACTCAATGCACTGGTGGTCACTTGCGGTATATTCCTCAGAGACCCGCCAGTCGCTTATGCGGCTAAATAGTTTAGACGATGCGATCGTTAGATCTATAATTGATCCGATAGCACCTCGTCTAAAAGTCCATGTATTGCCTCGGTTCGCAGCTAATAAGTCGTTTCTGGAGATCATTTCTCTAATACGAATTCCTCTCTTGTCGAGTCTCGTCTCACCCCACTCTGGCGACTTTGCGTTAAAATCGCCAGTGATGATGACATCCAGTTTGGATTCTGTGAGGCTCGCTTCTAGGTCTTCTATATTGGCTTCGAAGTTTGTCAGTGGGTCGTTGGGTGAGAAGTAGCAGCTATACATACGTATATTAGCCACCTCTATCCACACGAACCCACTGCTCGTCTCCAGAAACTTGTCAACCCGCAATTTTGGGTTGCACAGCTTTATGGCGGCTCTCTTCGCCTTATCCTGATACCAAGGGGCGAGGTCGCTTCCTTGATACTGCTCACTGCAGAACAGGATATCGACCTCATTTTCCCTTGCTGTTTGCATTAGGAGCAAC